ACCTGAAGTGCCTTTATATCTGAAAACTCTTTACAAAACCAAAAAGGATTTACCAAAAAAAAAAAAAAAAGATGAAACAAACAGCTTGATCTTTTTTAAGGTAAGGAGACACCTTTTAATGTAATAAGCAACTGATGTGGACTCATTAAATATTTAATGTTACACAATGTTCATTAATGTGAACAAAAATAAGCTGATCAAATAAATGGCACAAACACAGCAGTACATATACAAACTTGTCCTTTGTAGGGTAGAGAGTGCAGAAAACAGAATTATATTTTAGTTGCAGGGGTTTTTGTGAGCAGGAGGCTTAAGCTTGAGCTATCTTAAAGAAAAAAGAAAAAAAGTATGTTTACCTCCTTACCTCCTGACTGTTTTAGCAATTTCTCTGAGACGTTACATGTCATAGTTTTAAGTCTGGATGTCCTGTCATTCGGGGCTTCGGGGCTTTTCAGAGATACCAAATGATTGGATGTTTCACCATGACCACTCCCTCTGCTTGGTCTTTAAAAATGGCTGACATTAATTTGGTGATCAAGTGTAACACCCTTATGGAAATATGATAATATTTTGTAATTATCATTGAAATCTGACTAATTTTCAAATTGTTTGTCATAAATCAACATCTCAGGAAAATGTTATGGGGTTTCAAATCAAAATATGACCTTCTGTTATGAAACAGGACATCGATTTCATGTTTATTACACATTTTGGGAGACAAAACAAATGAATAGAGAAAACATTATATATCAATATTCCTATTAAATATTATTATGAAAATCTTGCTAATTATTTACCCATTATTTCACTTATTTGTTCATTCTATGTTGCCCCAAAAACACATTAATACGCAAATTAGATACAGTTTATAGATACACTGTATATAATGGAAAAACTCGTTTATGGCCATTTTACACACATTTTGCATGAAGAAAAATGTTTTTTAAAAATATCTTTCATAACATAGTTGAGAATCATCTTTATATAAAGTTTGGTATAAAAAATGAAAATTGATTTGTGATTAAATCAGAAATCACACTATTTTTTCTTATGCTCTAAACAATGTAATGACATGACACAATGCTAAATTCACAAAACTGTTTTTTTTCCTGGTAGTCAGGAGGATATACAGGCACTTAAAGTTCATGGTATATGAAGTCACCACTTTAGTTGAGGGGCCACACACATGATGAAATCATGAGAAGCTAATGAAGTCATGAATGAAAGACTTTCAACTCATGTTAGTTACTGATAATTCATTAGATATTAATGCATGAAGTAATGCATAATTCACACATTAATTTATGCATGAATTCATGGTAATTCATGTACCCTTACCATAAAGTGTTACCCATTTTACTACAAAAGACCAGTGCCAGTTATCTGTCTGATCAATAATGTTTAAAAAAAATTCACATAACATGACATATGCGTCTCCTTTCTAGGTCCTTTCTTAACTTTTTCAAATCATCCTCTTTTTTTTCTAGGTCTTCTCTTAAACGTTTCCCTTCATCCTCTTTACTTTCTAGGTCTTCTCTTAAATGTTTCCCTTCATCCTCTTTACTTTCTAGGTCTTCTCTTAAACGTTTCCCTTCATCCTCTTTTCTTTCTAGGTCTTCTCTTAAACGTTTCCCTTCATCCTCTTTTCTTCTAGGTCTTCTCTTAAACGTTTCCCTTCATTCACTTTACCTTTTAGCTCCTCTCTTAACCTTTTCGCTTCATTCAGTTGTTTTTGAATCTCTTCAAGTCTCTCCTTGAGCTCCTGAACATGCTGATCTTTTTTCTTTCTGAAATCATTCAGTTCTTCTCTTTGTTCTCTGGCTTCATCTTGATGTTTCTTCTTCATCTTCTCTATTTCCTCTTCATGTTTCTGTTTCATTTCATCGCACTCTTTTTCTGCTCTGTCTATTCTTTCTGTCTCCTCTCGTTCTCTTCTCTTGATCTCATTCTCTTGCTCTCGTTTCAGATCTTCTATCACTTCCTCCCATCTCTTTCTCTTCTCCACTCGCCTCTCTTCATCCTCTCGTTTTCTTCTCTTCCTCTCCTCTTTTCTCTCTTGCTCCAGCTTCTCATAATGTCTCTTCATTTCATATATATTGTCTTCATATTCTCTCTTCTTCTGTTCTCTCGCTCTTTTCTGTTTCTCTCTCTCCTCCTCTATCATCTGTTCTTCTTCTCTCTCTCTTTCAGAAATATTTCTCTTGTTCTCCAGTTCTTCTTGTTTTTCTCTCAGTTGTTTCCTGTGTTTCTCTTTTCTCTCTCTTTCCTCTTTCTCTCGTTCTCTCATCTGTCGTTTCTTCTCTTCCCCCCATTCTCTCTGCTGTCGTTTAATTTCCTCTTGAGTCTCTTTGTCATTTTCAGCCTCTTTTATTTTTCTCTTCCATTCTTCTCTCTCTTTCTCTTCTTGTTCCTTCATCATTTGTTCCTCTGAATCTCTCTTTTTTATTTCCTCCTCCTGTTTTTTTCTTAACTCTGTCATGATGTGTTCGTGATAATTTCTCATCTTTTCTTGATCTTGTTTATATTCTTCTTCTCTCTTTCTCTCTTCTTCTTCTCTTTCTTTTAGCTCTTCTTCATACTGTATTCTCTGATCTTCAATCTCTCTCTTCATCTCCTCTATTGTTTGATCATATTCAGCTCTTTGCTGTTTCTCTTCTTCTGATTGTTTCTGATCCTCCGTCTCTCGTTTCTCCTGATCTGATTTTTCTTTCTCCTCAAACTCTTTCCTGAGTGTTTCCTCTTGTTCTCTGAACTGGTTCTCCAGCCTCTCTCTTTCCTCCTCTATCTTTTGGATCTTCTTCTTCAGTATCTCTCTCATGCTTTTGTCTTCAATATCATAATTGGCTTCTAATTCTTCAACAAAAGTTAGTTTTTTTCTTTCATTCTCTTCTATCATTTCCATTCTCTGCTCAGTGGAGATCGCCGCCTCTTCAAACATCTCATTAGTGAAGTATCGGCCCTGATTCATCTCTTCTATCATATTCAACAGCTGAGTAACTTGTGTCTGATCTTGTGTCTCTGTGTTGTTAAAAGCCAGGAATCTGTTTCCACATTCACTGGTTAGTTTCTTGAGTTCAGCATTTTTCTCTACATATTGCTCCATTGTTTGTCCTCTCAGATCATCTCCTCTAGTGAGGAGAACAATGCAGAAATCTGCTGCTTTTGAGCCAAAGATCATCTTGATCATGTCTAAAGTGTCTTTCTCTTCTCGAGTGATTCCTCCCAGACTCAGCACAATGATGAACGCATGTGGTCCAGGTGCTGACAGTGAAATACACTTCATTATTTCTTCCTGCACTTGTTCATTTGTCAGTGAGGGGTCAAAGAGTCCTGGAGTATCAATAACAGCTACTGATCGACCATCAACTTCACCAACTCTCTTCTGACAAACAGTGGTCACCAAACGTGAACTGGCTTCACTGTGAAACTCTTTTGTTCTGAGGATAGTGTTTCCTGTTGCAGACTTTCCACTTCCTGTCCTCCCAAACAGCAAGATTCTTAAACCTCCTGGATCTGATGCTGAATCTTCATCATCTGAAAATGGCAAATAATAGAGTTTACAGATTAACAACAATTGATTAATTTGACCCTGAGCAACAAGTGTTCAACTCAGACCTAAAATGTAAACTATTTGTACAGTCCATCTCAGTGATTCTCAATGTTTGTTTGGGTCACCACCCCCCATCTATTATACATGTCTTTTATCCCATTAAAATAAAATGTAGGGTAACCGTTTTCCCTGAATATTCCCTGTGTTTTTTCATAATAATTATAATAATAAATATATATTTTTTTAAATGTTTGAAATGAAAGATCAAAAGGGTAATCAACACAGATTTATATTCACAGCTTTTTTGTCATATTTACCAATGAGGCTTATAATTCTGACCTCAAATGTATATTACAAGTATTTAGTTTGTTTTTAACCACATTGCAGCTTTTAACCAGAACTTGCAACATGACATGGTCTTGATTCGAGACTTGAATACAAAGACTGGAGACTTACTATTGACTTGCAAAACAATAATTTAGTCCCACCTAGTCATTCATTACTGATTTCAGTATGAAGGCCATGAGTCTGAGTCAGCTTAAGTCTCTGCATTTACAAGCAGTTTATCAGTGTTTCAGCTGGTAACATACTGTAAAATAACTAATTCTAATTCTAAATGCTGCTTGTGTGACTGATGATTCTATATTCAGTCATTCTACATATAATGTTTTACAAATTAATTTCAAAATTGACTGATTATTGTTTTGACTTACTCTCTGTGTGCTGAACCTCAGGAGGTCCTGTATAAAGTTCAATATATCTGCTTGTTTCTTTCTCCTCTTCTTCTCTTTGTCTTTCTTGTTGTTTCTGTTTTTCCCATTCTTCTCGTTCTCTCTTCAGATCCTCTCGTATCTTTCTGTCTTGTTTTTCTATATATTTAATGTCTGTTTTATATTGTTCTTCTCTCTCTATATATTCTTCTTCTCTTCTCTTTCTCTCTTTTTCATGATTCTGTCTTTCTTCCTCCATCATCTTCTTCATTCTCTCTCTCTCTTCTTCATGTTTGAACTGAAGATCTTCTCTCTCTCGCTGTCTTCTTTCTCTCTCTCGTTTAAGTTTCTGATAATATTCATCCCATGTTTCTTTTTCTATCTTTCTCCTTCTCTCCTCCTCTTCATCTCTTCTTTGTCTTTCTTGTTGTTTCTGTTTCTCCCATTCCTCTCGTTCTCTTTTCATCTCGGTTTTATATCGTTCTTCTCCCTCCTTATATTCCTCTTCTCTTCTCTTTCTCTCTTTATCATGATCCTGTCTTTCCTCATCCATCATCGTCTTTATTCGCTCTCTCTCTTTTTCATGTTCAGATTGAAGAATTTCCTTCTCTCTATTCATTCTCTCTTTCTCTTGTTTAAGTTTCTGATTATATTCATCTGACATTGAATGTTCTTTCTTTCTCCACTTCTCCTCCTCTTCTTCTCTTCTTTTTCTCTCTTTGTCATGATTCTGTTGTTCTTCCTCCATCATCATCTTCATTCTATTCATCTCTTTTTCATGTTTGAACTGAAGATCTTCTATCTCTCTTTGACTTCTCTCTTTCTCTTCTTTAAGTCTCTGATTATGTTCAGCCCCCATTGTCTGTTCTTTCTTTCTCCATTTCTCCTCCTCTTCTTCTCTTCTTTGTCTTTCCTGTTGTTTCTGTTTCTCCCATTCCTCTCGTTCTCTCTTCAGCTCCTCTCGTATCTTTCTCTCTTGTTCCTCTCTCTCTAGAATATCTCTTTTATATTGTTCTTCTCTCTCAATAAATTCATCTTCTCTTCTTTTTCTCTCTTTCTCATGATTCTGTCTTTCTTCCTCGATCTTCATCTTCATCTTCTTTTTCTCTTCTTTATGTTTGTTCATCAGTTCTTCTTTTTCTCTGTTCACTTGCTCCACTTTCTCCATCAGTATCTTCATCTGTTTGTCTTGTTTTTCTCTCTCCATCTCTCTGAACATCTTACATGAGTAGTAACTCCCTCCGTTCTCTTTCACCATGTTGTCTATCTTCTGCAGTAGATCAGTCACCTGTGTTCGATCTTCAGTCTCATTATTGAACACATGGTATCTGTTTCCACATGCTTCAATCAGCTGATTCAAATCAGATCCAGGTTTTCCCAAACACTGATCAATGGTTTTGTTCTTCAGCTCATCTCCTCTGGTGAAGAGCACTATGGTGTACTTTAATGAGTTTTCACCAAATGTCTCTTGGATGATATTCACTGCTGTTGCTTCTTCTTCAGTGAATCGGTGTGCTAAATTGAGCACAATGATGAACACATGTGGTCCAGGCAGGATCATGGGGATGCAGTTGCTGATTTCTTTCTTGATTTCTTCAATACTGAGTTCAGTATCAAACAGTCCTGGAGTGTCGATCACAGTAATGTGTCTGCTGTTGATTTCAGCTTTCTCTTTCTGACACACTTTAGTAACAGACTCTTGAGATAGTTCTGCTCTAAACGATTTTCTTCCTAAGATAGTGTTTGCAGTTGAACTCTTTCCAGCTCCAGTTTTTCCCAGCAGCACAATCCTCAGATCATCTTCTCTTTCTCTTGAATCTAAAGATAGATCAAATAAAAATCTAAAACATTTTAATACATTTTAAAGGGAAGGTTGTTAATAATCCCGGTGATAATTCATTATTTAATTCATACTAAAGCATTGTGTGCTAATCATATTATTTGTATGCAATGTTATATATATATATTTTTTTCATCTCACAAATATGCGTAGACTTTATAAATCATGAGTGTTAAATCAATGCAGATTTTCTGATCATTACCTTGTGATTGGATCCACGTCTCTAATGAATGGAATCTCCGCTTCATTTCTTCAAATTTCTGCAGTTTGTCCATCTGTGTCTCCATCAATGTCTCTGTGGAGAAACAATCACCACTATTTTCCTCAACCATCTGCTCCAGTTTCTCCATCAACACAGACACTTGTGTGTTCAGGTCAATGATATGATGTCGTCCTCCAAATCTCTCAATGACAGACTGTGTTTCTTCATTGAGTTCTGCTGTCTGATGCTCTGGATTCTGCTTTATGAGGATCATGATGTGTTTGTTGATTCTTGAGCTGAAGATCCTCTGGATCTTCTCTATTTCTGCTCTGTCTTCATCAGTCAGTGGAGCATCAGGAATGATGAGGATGAACACATGAACTCCAGGATGACAGAGAGACACACAGCGGTGAGTCTGACGCAGCACGTCCTCCTCTGAGAGCTGAGTGTTGAACAGAGCTGGAAGCTCCACCAGACTGATCAGACGTCCATCAAGCTCCACGTCTCTCCTCACACACTCGGAGCTCAGCTCGGATCTTCTCTCGCTCTGCTTCAGGATCAGGTTTGATGTGAAGGATTTTAATTCTCTGTTACTCCCACACACAACCAGATTCAGCTTCACACCCTCTG